GTAAAAAACAAGCACACACAAACATTCCATTAGCCATCAGAGCTATCACATGTCATGTATCTGGAAACCTCCACTGCACACTTAACGGAGAATGAGGATGAAAATAGCATTCAGTATTATTGTGAAATTAGTTTTGACCTCCTGGACTCCCTAGATGGAGGGAACTTGGGGCTTCAGGGCTTCTCAGATGGCACTTGAGAACTGCTGTTTTAAACAGGGTTCATGGATGTGAAATGATAAAGGGGCCCTTGTGATGAAGTGGGCTTTAAAGTTCACTTCTACATTTCTTGCCTTTTTTCCTTTAACTTGTCTCTAAAAGCTTAGATCTGACAACTTAATTCTTTTAAAAAAAAGGAAAACACTTGTTATATATTTCCTGTCTCGTGGCACACTGTACTGTTTGGGTCTAGTTTGTACCTAGACTTACCCTATTTTTATATGGAAAAAATTAGTCGCTCAAGGCTATCCTTTCTTATATAAATTTATGATGTTTATCCAAGGCTTAAGGTAAGAATTCTGAAGATATTGGTACATTGAGGAAAGACTGTGTCATTGTAATGTAAGTAGTACCATTCAGTAAAAGTTTCCTTTAAGCCCACGTCTCTAGGACACAGTACTGTCATGCATATTTAAACGGCTGGTTAGACGTACATTTTCTAATGAAAAAATTTACATGTTGGAAAGTCATAATTATTCATAAAGCTCTTACGGAATATAGACTGTTTTATAGAGAGTGATGAGTGAATCCGAATAAGTAATACTAGGAAATTAAAAGTAGAAAAAAGAGAGACAGTGGTTCCCTATGTGAACAGCAATGACATGTAAAGTACAACCAGCTGGGAAGGAGCAGTGCATTTGGGGGGGAGAGGAGGATGTGGGGCTGCTGCTCTGAGAAGAGAATTCATACAAGTTAGTCAAGTTTGTATTGTTATTCACATTCTAATAAGTGGAAACTTTGTTTTCTGATCCTTCAGACTGGGATTCTACTAGTTTGAGCCCCAATAATGGGGCTGGTCAAAGAGCCAAGCTTTTGAAAGCTGATCAATGTCCGTTGGTATCACAGTCGGTGACCACAAACCAGTCAGCACCCACAGAACTGAGGCAGACGGCCATAGTAGATAAAAAACAGATGAATATTGGAGCCGTGTTTCTGTCAGAAAATGCAGCGCTCCGTGGCCTGCGTCAGTCACAGCTGCCAGAGAACAGAAGCAGCAAAGAAGGTAATAAATCAGCATAGAGAGCTAGCCATAGTCTACCTGTGCGTGGCTTCACCATATTCCGACTTTGCAGAAATCACTTTGTGGCAGGATCTCCTTTGTGTTTGCTCCTTTTATGCAACCTGCAACCAGACAAGACCTTTTAGCACGACATTTACATTCATCATCCTCTGACAAAAGTAGCATATTAAATAGCAAAGAGGATTAGGAGAAAGTAAGTTCGTTCAGACTAGTATTTAGCTCACTCCTGGGAGTGGGTAGGAGGATGATGTCTAGAGCTTTGTGACTAGTTGGGAAACCTAGGTGGACATCCAAAGATTCCCTTCTGAAAATATGGTTTCTTAGCTTTATTTTTATCTAGCTCTGAATTTATATGTATTAGTTATAGCTGTTTTCAGTGTAACTGAAAAAGCACCTCTGCAACTAAATATCAAAATATTTCTAGTATATTCTCTGCCTTTCTGTATTTTAGAAGTGGCTTTCCCAGCGGTAGTGGCAGACATTGGGAATTTGCTACACAGGACCTCCTTGTTAACCGTGTCCACGTGGTATATCAGCTTGTTTTATTATTTTCAATGGATTGATAGTTCAAAATGGATACTGGTTTTTAAGGAGTGCTTTATCACTTAAAAATAATATATGGAATATCAATTGTAATTCTTCTAGGATACCCAGTCTGTTGATTAACCACATCTGATATGTGTTCTAATTTATATACCATTGAATTTAGTGCCTTAATCAGTGCTATGATCAGAGCTGTAGTAATAAGTTATACAATATTTTTTCTGCTCCAGTTGCTTTATCTTTTCTTTCTTTACCTGTAGTATTAATGTCGCGTTTACAGAAGATTCTGTTATCTCCTATAGTAGTGACTGCAAGCTCTAAACTCAAAGTTTTTCTAATAAATAAGGATTGTTTTATACAAAGATTCTTTTAAGAGTTTGTCCTCCACAGCATAGGAGCAAAGAGGATAGACAGGTAAAGAAATAGTTATAAGTTCAGCTGCTGAAGACACACTAGAAAAATCTGTGAGGTTCCGAGGTAGGAGATCCTTGTGTCTCCATGGAAAGACAGCTGTAATCAAGGAGGACTTCACAGAGCAGCTGAGTCTTCAAAGAGGAAAAGGAACTTGTCAGAACAATAGAGGGAAACGTTTCAGATTAAGGAAAGATAAAAGCATAAAAAGTAGCAGTAGTTTTGGAAACCATGAATAACATTGCTCTTGAAGCTTGGTATGTTATTAAAGAGGTACTGTTAGGAGGTAGAGAATAGAGTCTATCGTGACTTTGTATATTTCTACTGTATTTTTAAATGTTTTATTTCTCTTTGTTTTGTTCATGTGTGGTGAATCAATTTGTGAATGAAACTTTGAGATGTTTGTATGCCTTTAATCTGGTAACGTCTAGTATTTCCCAAATAGTTTGTTGAAGTTTTAAATAATTAGAAATATTTCTTAAAGAAGTAAATATCCAGCTAAAGATTAAGCTTAATTTAAACTGTCGATTGATGAAATGTGTTTTATGTTTTTATGAGGATGATGCCTTTTATCTAGCTGTTCTAAGTAGTGAATTTTAAGTAAGCATATTCATTTTTCAGCATACCTAGACTTAGAATGGACATCTGAGGAAGAGCAAGAAACACTTGTTGGAAGTGAAAATAACCACTCACAGGTATGTAAAAATGTGAATTTAAATCTCTGGTTTATATTCCTTTGTATGCTTAAATAACAGAGTTCAAAAGAAATTGCCTCTCAAACTAGACTTGTAGAGTCAATTAATAATTATTTAATAGTTTTTAAAAGCATTTTATCTAGCTATAAAACTTAAAGTATTGTTAGGATCTATAATAATTTATAGTTAAACTTTATCCTTGGAATTGAGGCAAAAAACCTTGTTGTTTGTTTACTTCTTCCATTTTTATAGCTCCCTCACATGATAATGAAGGTGATATCAATTATGAAATCATGTGGTTAAGCAGTTGAAATTCTAAATAATTTAGCAGTGATCGCCACCGAGTTAGTTTCATGAAAGGAACAGTCATTCTCATTGGTCCAAAATTTGCAGATTCAAATTGCAAGTCATTAATGCTCAGATGAAAGATTTCTTCTGTCTTGTGATCTCTATGTAATCGATTTCAGAATCTACAGTCAGGGAGAGAAGAGCTGTCATAGAATCAACCCCACTGCCTAGTAAGAGAATCAAACCTTCCAGGATTAGACCTTTGCTATTAGGGAACAAACAAAAACGTTGTAAATTGTTTCATTTTCGGGTAGGAAATCAGTAAATATTATTAAAAATTCTTTTATTCACTCTCAGTAGTGAACGTTAGAGTATAATATAACTTGGATGCACCGAATACATATTGAGATGGATCACTATCATAGTATATTATTTGCACTTAAATTCAGGAATTTGTTCCTTTGATTGATGTTAGTTGATTTTGGCACCTAATAATTTGCAGGTTGCTTATTCTCCAGTATTAGTCCTTTAAAAAAAAATCTTTACATGCACTGGAGGGGCTGAGTATTTCAGGTATGTGAGGTGAAATATTTTTTAGTGAGGAAATCGTTGTAGTGTTAGAAATCTAATCTCTAAATCTTTGTAGATTTGACATGTATGAATTGTTTAGTTCAAACAAATAGTGACAAAGTTAGGTTTCTGTGTTCCTGTTTTTCTCCTATTTCAAGGCTAAGGCAAGTTCTGTTGCATTTCTTAGTTTGTGAGTAGCCAAACATAGATTAAGAAGTTTGTTAAATTTTAATTAGTTTTTAATTTTTCTTTATCCATACTTGACTACTAAAGGATACATGTGTTTTACGAGCATGTACTGTGAAAGAAAAGAAATCTGAAGATCAAATCAAGCAGACTAATCTTTCACTTGTGCATCTGCAAAAAACGCCTAGAGAACCAGAAGTGAATAAGGAACATGACAGAAAGGACGTACCTGTATCTTCAAAACATTCTTGTGTGGAGAAGCATGAGGACACGTGGGTCATACAAGGCAAATTAGACTGGAAAAATAATTCTGAATGTATCACAAGGAAGTCAAATCAGAAAATCAGTAAAATCCATGAAAAAGGCAAAATTACTTTTCATCATAAGGTGGAGTCACTACATGACAACTTGGAACTACATGGTGACTTAAAGGAACTACCTCCCAGTGTGACAGATAATATATTTGATTGTGAGGAAAAAGATGTACCTGGAGCCTCTGTCTCTGTAGGATCCCAGGCATTCTCTGAACACAAAGAGCCCAGTCTTAAAAATGTTTTTCCGTCTTATTCCATGTCTGAGTCAAAAGAGTATGGTTGCCAGTCATCTTCAAAACTTTATTTAAGTGAAAATAAGTTAGATGAACATGACAAAGCAGACACTGAACGTGTTTTTAACAAAAATGAGGAGAGTTTTTATAATAGAGAAAATGAAGTAAGGAACCGAGTTCCATTTACAGTGAATGAAGACCAAGAACTTAATACAAAAATAATACAAAAAAGGAACCAAAATACTGACTGGAAGTCAGACATTGGACGTACATCTCAGGTAAGTGACCCAAAAAGCCTTTTTGGTTGGTGGCTTGCCCGCTCCAGTGAGATGAAACACCTGATTCAAATAAAAAGTCACGATATGTCTGCTGTTTCAAATACTTACAAGAACACGAAACCAATGCAAGACCAGCTCCAGAAGCCATTACTTGCAGATAACTGTGGTGCTATATTAACTCTAAAATCATGGACCCTGAATTAGGAAATGTGAGTTCTTCTCCATCAAATGGTAACAGAACATCCAAGGTATATCTAAAAGAGTTACACCAAGATATGCAAAGGTTTAACAATGAGGTAGGCATGTTACAAGTAGAATTTCTGGCTTTGGAAAAAGAAAATAGAGCTTCAAAAAGAGGTAGAGTTTCCTTTGCTGCTACTGTTTTTTTTTCTTTTATCAATAATCTCTTCCATTCTGATCCATATTTGATCTGATTTTCCACTTACGAAAATAACCTATGTATAAAACGGGGTCATCTAAATATGTAATCATGTAGAAGCAGACTATTTCTGCCATCTAAATAACAGGAACTCAGGGAAGTATTTTCCTGGGTTTTGTTCCTTAATCAATCTAAGTCTCTGTGCCAGTCTTTCGTATGAAGTGGGAAAGTAATTCAGCTGTGTGCCACGTGACGTTCTGAGCCAGAATAAACACGAGTGAAATAGCTTAGGAAATATAATAAGCTCAAGGGTTTTTTTTTTAATCTATTGGCTTAAATGTAAGTTGCACTTTCATAGAATGGGAAGGAAGCAGTGACTGAGAGAAGGGATATAAGCACACGCTCTCACTAAACTGATCTGTATATTATGTGTTAGTGAGTGTGGGCTTCTCTGTTTTACTGATCACTGGACACTTAGAATTCCATCATGGCCACTTTGAGATATTGTTAAGAATACATGTGCTCCCACATACTCTTGAATCACAACTTCTGGGTGTTTGTGTTGAGACAGACACTTTTCTTGTATTATTTAATAAAATGTAGTAAGTTTTGACAATGTATGATTCTATCATATAGGTAGTACGAACTCTCAGCCAAAAAAACTCAATATTTATCTCCAAAGGAAAAAACTTGAGTTTTGAGATGCACTGAATGATTTTTTTTAGTGCTAGTAATAGATTTTTAAAATGTGTGTGTTCTTTTGTGTGAGGTGCAAGGAGTGTTAAAGATAGAATCTGAAGGTGTTCTCCTTTCATAGAAGGAGATGAGCCCTGCCCCCAACTTTGCCAAAGTCACACTTTTAACTTACCTGATCAATTTGATGAATTTATTTGGTAGCTTATTAGATTCAGTGTTACAGAATTGTATCATCTCCTTTGACACCATAAAATGCTGGGGAATACTGCTTTAGGGAATTTGGACAAATCACTTAAGCTTTCTTGGTTGTGTTCCCGTTTTCAGTAAACAGTGGGGCTATGGTAGATCACTCATTACTCCTATGGCGTCTAGCTATAAAATGGTCATGGTTATTGAATGTGAAATTGGGAAGCATTATTCCTTCTGCAGAATTCCACACTAACTGGCATTTCATCAGTTTCACTCTGCTCCTTTCGGTAAACTTGGGTTTATATATTTTATTAAACACCACTTTTTTGATACCCCAGGATCCAAATGAAACAAGAATTATAAAAAGTAGTGGGAAAAGGATAGCTTTAGCACAGAAAGAAGAATGTTTCCTTTCTGTTACTGAAGCACCAAGGTGTGACATCTTCTAAATCTGGCTGTTTAATGCAAAATCTAGGTGGTAAAGACAGAAGAGGACAAATTTTATGCCTTTGTCTTTCTATTTCTCCGTCTCTGCCATTCACATGAGGAAGAGTGGATGTAAGAGCACAACATTCAGAAAGTCCTTTTCGAAATTTTGGAAATTCTGTTTCTTTTCCTCAAACAGAAAGAAGCAGAATTTACAAACATTTCAATGACTTGAAATGATAAAAATTAAAATAAGCACAAAAATATTGTAATCAATTGAAGTCAGGGCAAACTGAGTCAAATGATAAAGTGAAGGATAACAAAGTCTTCGTAATGAATAAAGTAATAATTACCCTTTGTATCAAACTTTCACTAAAGGTTGAAGTAGAAGAGAACAGGAGCAAAAGTGGTGAGCTGAGAGGATCAGAAACCATGTGTGATGGCAGTTATCATGAAGGATTAACTCGGCAGAGGAAGAGGGGAAAAACTGATGACCAGAAGTCTCCTGCTCTGCAGAAAGGAGATTCTGATAGGTAAGCCTATATCAGTATTCAGCAGTAAGTAATTATTATTTTCCTAGATACTGTTCAGAATTTCTTCCCAGACTCATCTCTCTACTTGCTTCCATATATTTTATACTCTTCCTTCCAGGTTCCTAGGACACGCCTAAATGCCATGTGCCTAATCTTTGTGCTCACATTCTAATCTCTTAAGTAGAATAATTTCCTCCTGTCTCTCTTGCTCATGACTTCCTGTTTATTTCCCCTCTTCTGTAAAGCCTTCCTTATGCTCATTTTACTTTCATTATATCAGCTCTTGCATATCACATTATATCATAATTGTATATCTGTCTTTGAAGCAAGAATTTGTGTTTCCTTGCATATGGTTGGCACTTGTTAACCATTTTGTGAATTAATAAATGATTGAAGATGGGTAAGAGTTGGAATATTAGAAAAATTGGTTTTTTTTTTAATTTATCAGTAGAATTATTTTTTAAAAATTGGCTTTTTTATGGATTGTTTTAAAGAAGCTGTCCTGGCTTGCATATGAAAGAAGTAAAGAAGAATGAAAGTGGAAAACGGACATTAAAAGCATCTGTGACTTCACTTGTATTTGCGAAGACTGCCTCACTGGCTGGTGGTCTCCTACACATGAATGACAACAGCAGTTTAAGTGAAGATCAAGGTTGTGGCAGGTAAAACCTACAAATTCTTTATTTCTAGCTGAAGACGTATTAGCAGTGATTACCTTCTCTGGAACTAGAACAGCAGCATATAGTGCAAAGGCCAAGGCAAGAGAATTCTCAAATGTGTCGGAGGAACTCTGCCGAAAGTTTAAGATGAGGACAAGTGTCTTTGACTGGAAGCCGGGCTGCAGTGAGTCAGTGTGAACAGCCCCTCAGAGGACATTCCCTGGGAAGGCAGGAGAGGACTGGGTGATAACTGAAGGGGAACGTGGGGCTCGTGGGGGTTCCCTTTTTTTTAATGATGACATGGTAGTTTGTAGAGCATGTCTGTGTGCTGTTGGATGTTATTCCATAGAAGATGTGTTTTTCAATTTCATCTTGTTTGCATTTCTGATGTTAGAAAGTGTATTGATTGTACTGTGTTATCTTTAAAATATAGTAAACTATTCATGTATAGTTTTATTGTAAGGGCTTGTTCATTAGTTCTGAAGCGTAATATTCTTACACAATTGAATATGCAGATAATGACTTTAAAGTTACACCATTGTCCATAGATTTTTAAAAATTGTATACTCATAATAACTACAAACACTTAGGCCATACTGAATAGGGTTTAATCATTCCTTGATGATTCTAGACTTTATAGTGTCCTTGACAGTATCATCATGAGTGGCTGTGGTTTTGTATGCTATTGTAAAGTATCAGATTATAGTAACTTAATATTTGTTTAGATTCTAGGAAGTAGGGGAAGACTTTGTTTATATGCAATAGAATAATAAACTATTAACAATCTATCACAGATGATTACTTTTGGATTACTTAGTTCTAAATTAAAAAAGCCATCATGCTCCATAAGGACCTGTCAAATGCATGAACAAACAGCTAAATGGGTAATGAATGCCCGCTGATTGATGTCTTTAACAAAAGCAAATCTTTATTAAAAGTAGATTTCCAGTATTGCCTAGGTCTAAAGCCTTTTTATTTTTAAAAAGTAGGTGTTAAGATTCAGAAATTATTATAGTATTATTTTAACCTTTTTTATTGAGTCATAGTCGTTTTGCAATGTTGTGTCAAATTCCAGTGTAGAGCACAATTTTTCAGTTACACATGAACATACATATATTCATTGTCACATTTTTTTTTTGCTGTGAGCTACCATAAGATCTTATATATATTTCCCTGTGCTATACAGTATAATCTTGTTTATGTGTTCTACATTTTGAAATCCCAGTCTGTCCCTTCCCACCCTCTGCCCCCTTGGCAACCACATGTTTGTATTCTATTTCTATAAGTCTGTTTCTGTTTTGTATTTGTTTTGTTTTTGTTTTTGTTTTTAGATTCCACATATGAGTGATCTCATGGTTTTTTTCTTTCTCTTTCTGGCTTACTTCACTTAGAATGACATTCTCCAGGAGCATCCATGTTGCTACAAATGGCACTATGTTGTCGGTTTTTGTGGCTGAATAGTATTCCATTGCATAAATTGACCACATCTTCTTTATCCAGTCCTCTGTTGATGAGCATTTAGGCTGTCTCCATGTCTTGGCTATTGTAAATAGTGCTGCTATGAACATTGGAGTGCAGGTGTCATTTTCAAGTAGGGTTCCTTCTGGACATATGTCCCAGAAATTACTATTTATAATTATACCTAGACATAGAATAATAATAGAGATTCATTTACTACATTAGTTAAAAATACTTAAAAGTAAATATTACTTTCTTAGCATACTGTGAAATGTAAGTATTGAAGCCAGATTGCCTGGGTTGGAATTCTGGGCAGACATAGGGGCTTCGACTAGTGACTTAGCCTTTCTGTGCCTCATTTTCTTCCTGGGTAAAGTACCTAATGTATTACCTACCTCCCAGGATTGTTGTGAAGATTAAAATGTCTTTAAGACATGTAACGTTCTGATAATAATGCATAGCAGTTGCATACAAAGTCCTCAAAAAAGCTAATATGGTTATTAGAAAAGGGTTTCTTTCATATAAGGAGTTAAGTAATACTTTCCAAATAGGTCTTATTGTCATAAAAGCCAGTTTTTATTGAAAAAGATAACAACAAGAAAATCCTGGTATATTTTTTTCTATCAAATAATACAAGTAATGTTATGTTCTTCCTTTTCTTTTGCTTGTCCGCTTGATCTAAATTTAATAGTTTGTTAATAATATAATTGATATACTTTCTTTGTCCTTTAATGTTACTGTTTCATTTAATCCCTTTTATTGAAAATTATCAATGTAAAGATTTTGTATAAAAAATAATAGATATACATGTTTCTTGTATTTTCAATATTTAGTATTTGGCTTAAATGAATTGCTTTTTTGATTTTTCAGGTCTTCAAAGAAAACGTCTACTGAAAAGGATCAGGTATAGTAAAATATTAATTATAAAGGTATTTTCCTGTAGTAAAAAACATTTATAAAAGATAGAGTGGAAAAACAGAAAACCCTCCTTTGTTGTAGAGACATTTACTTTAAAATCACTTAGAAATACTATAGATTAAGTTAGCCTTTTGACAAAAATCAGTTCTTTTGTGAAGTGTCTGTGGTTTTGCTCTCATAAAAAGATGGATCTCTATCACCTCTGTACACTGAGCATATTTTATAACTATGTTGGAGACACTGTGAAATAGCATTATTTATTTGTAGGTCAAAGAGCAGATGAATTCTGTGGATGGTCTCGATGACTTAACTCTGGCACCGGAGACAGCTTCCGAGGATTGCGAGTCGCTTTTCCCTGATTATAAGAACACCCTGAGGCTAAACGAACGACTTGGCCCGGAGAGTAAAGGTAGGACCCCCGTATGACTACACAGCCTTAAGTGTCTAGTGGTAACATGTGCATACCTAATACTGCCCAGGGAGCACGGCTACGTTACAGTCCACTGCGTCTCAGACACCTGCTTTGTGTTAAAGCAGAAGAATCAGACGTGTCGTGCGCTGCCAGCCAGGGGCTGTGACCGTTCCCACCCCCTGTGCTTTCTGTTGACTCTGCTGCTCCTATGCCTTCACCCGAGGTCAGGTTATCACTTCTTCCCTCCTAGAACGCTGAAATCACCTCAGGACTTTTCTTCTATGCTGTCTGCCTCCTGGAACCTTGGTCTACACCACAACCATGATTACTAAAATTCAGGTCTTTGTTACCCCCTTGTTTAAAATCCAGCTCCTGCTTCTTGTAGCTCCATGGTTAAAGGCTGCAGTCCTCTGGCTTCATCTTGTTTCCTTTTATTACCCTTCTTTCCACATGAGTTTTAGAATCAGCTTGTCAATGTAAAAAAAAAAAGTCTGCTAGTGTTCTGGAAATGAGATGTAGATTATGTTGAAGCTGTAGATTAATTT